ACTCGAGTATGCACCACTAGGTCCCAGACCCGCACTAGGTCGCCCACCGTTTGCAGTTTCCTGCATGTAGCGATCCCACGAAGTGCGCCTCCAGGCCCGGGCGGCGGTTCAAACTGTCTGGGTCTGCCTCGCCGGTATTGGGGAGCAACNGGGTTACCCCACAACGCGGTTGCCCAGCACCACGGTCCGGGGGACAAGGGGCTGGTCTCGATATCCCGGAGCGGTGGTAGGTGTCCCAGGGCGCCCACAATCCGGCTGATATCCGTGGGTAGGTCGCTTCCGCCGAGCCGGGGCCCGGCTTGGCTGGCGGTCGTCAGGGCCCACGGTTGGAAGGCGGGGTGGGTGAGCAGCATATAGGCGGAGAGCGTCCGGACCCAGGGATGGAGACTACCATCTGCCCTCCCGTGTCCCCCGGTACCACCTGTGGTTCCTGCAGCTCCACCTGTCCCTGGCCCACATGACGCGTTAGATAGCCCGAGGGCCGCTATGATGAAGCGCACAGCCCATACCGCATGCCGAGCCTGGATGTGTTGCTGGAGGGGCAGCAGGCCAAAGCCTCCAGCCGACGGGTGGCCGGTCAAGAGATCCTTAGGCACCCCTGTCAAACGGCGGCCGGGGTCTTCTGGGCCCTGCTGCCGGTCGACGAGGCGGGCCGTTAGGCGTTCTATTTCGTCCAGCGTACGGTTGGGGGGCGGCCCACCATGCTCCATGTGCCAGGTGACTGTCTGCATTCCGTACACCGATGCCGCTGTGGCTCGACCGAATGCTGATAGCGGGAAGCGGGAGAGCCGCTGCAGTCGCCGCTTGGCTTCCCCGAGTCTCTTCATCCAGTCGGGCTGTGGCGGGGATGGCTGGTTGTCAATTGGCAGGTTCAGGGCGGTGGCGGTGGTCACCACCTTGAGACCTCCTATTGACTCCTGCTGAGGGGCAGCTGATTGGGGTCCGGCCTGGGTTGCAGGTTGCGCCTGCTGTTGGTTTAATTGGCCAATCCACAGCAGCTCCACTTTGTCGAGATTTAGGCGTTGGCCAGACGCCCGGGCAAAGGTGTCCATGGCCTGGAGGAACGATGGTACTGAGTCTTCACCCTGCAGCGCCACTTCCGTGTCATCCGCATATTGGCACGCGGTGACTGGTTGTGAGTCGGCTGGCTGTAATTTGATCCCCACGTCTTGGCTCCGGAGCCAGCATTGTAGGGCCTGAGCAACGAAGAGGTAGAGCAAGGGTGCGAGGGGGCACCCTTGCCGTACCCCTGCTTCCATGTTCACCAGCTTCGATTTGTAGCCATTCACCATCGCTCTGGCTCGCGTTTCGCTCAGCAGCAGCCGTACCCAGGCGCAGAGCTGTGGCCCTGCAC